GTCACCTAACACCTGCTCCTCAGGGTCCTTGTCAGCGCATTTTTAGTTAATCTCCTTTTGATAAGGCAGTTCTTTTCTCAGAGCTGTGAGCATCTGTGACACGTGGGACAGGCCAGCACTCGTGGGACAGGCCAGCACTCGGTGCCCTCAGCCGGCACCCCCTGCCAGTCGACTTTCCTGTGTTAGAAGACGGCCGCTTGTAACAGTCCCGGAAAGCGAGCGTTTACTGGTGAAGGGCAACCAAAGGGGCGGCCACCTGGTGGCTGAAAACTGGGCTTCTGGGAAAGCTGCTGCCAGGTATATTGCAAGGTGGTCTCAGGAGGCGTGACCCGCTCCACCTGGAATGCTTTGACCTGGCGGTGATTCCTTGCTGTTCCTGGTTCTGTGGAAATCAGAGGCCTAGGAAGTTGGTCTTTGTGCCCTGGGGATCAAAGCAGCTTCTGCGCTTGGGGCCGAATGGCGTGCTGAGCTGAGGCCCCAGCGAGTACCAGGCACGGAGCGGAGCGGCCGCCCCAGCAGGTGAACCGTCTGCTTGACCGCACTGATGTGTGAGGGGCAGAGCGGGACGTGTTGGTTGCTCATATTGTTTGGGGGAGCGGGACCTGGACAGGGAGGGGAGAAGGCAGATAGCAAAAATAAGCTCCGGCATTCAGAGTGACCCGTGTGGAACTTCTCTGGAGTTTCTGCACATTCCTGATGAATCCAAACATGGGCACTGACTCAGGGACCCCACCGAGCGGCTGGGGGCAGAGGACAGCTAAGAATTTCGAGACCAGGCACGTGCTTTCCTTTTAGCAGGAGCAGGTATCGGTCATGTCGCTCTTAAGTTGGATGGTCGTCTATTCTTTATGTCTCTTCTTTTACGTATTATCTATCTTAAGTAAATAAAACAAAAAAAAGTAGGATATTTAGGGCAGCGACAGAGCTGGTTTAGGTAGGTGAAGAGGCCGACTGCTCCTTGGGTTGGCCTTCCAACCGGAAATTATGAGTGCAGGGACTCTGCGAGGTCTGCGTGCAAGCTGTCGGCTTACCGATCGAATCTTCATGGAGGAAATTTTTCCCAGGCACGTGGATGGGGTGTTTCCTCACTGCTCTGGGATGCGCAGAGGACAAGTTTGTAGATAAAATTGCAAATCCTGCCGCCGGGCAGCCCTTGCAGTCCCACAGAGACGGTGTGAGGCCTCTGAACTTGCTCTCCCAGACTCCTTCTCGCTCTGTTTTGTGTCTTCTGCGACCGCGTCACTCCTCGCCCAGGTGGGAACCTTGGGCGTCTCCTGAACGTGGTTACATTCGTGCCCCTTGGGGGCCGTGCTGAGCCGCCTTTATGGAATGGCCCGTCACCTCTGCTGAACGCAGTCCTGTTTGTACTGGGAGAAGCCCTCCCCCAGCTCCAGGCTGAGCCAGGACCCCCTCCACACGCTCCTGCAGCACGGTCTCAGTGTGACTCTTGAGCTTCCAAGGGTGCTTCACACCTTGCAGGTGCTGGATAAGCTGCTGAAAGGAGTAGTATCAAGTGAAAACCCGCCCTGTGCAGTAACCGCCTGTGTCCAGCAGGTGGCAGCAGAGGCCCGCCAGCCGTCCACTGGGTGCTCCAGGTTGCAGGTGAGCTCGCCTGCCCGTCCCAGAGGGCCTTGGTGTGCTCCTCACACGAGGGCAGCGGCCCAAGGGGGCAAGGCCCCTGGGTTGCAAGGCAGGAGACCTAGCTTACTTCTCGGCGAGCGCACAGTAGGCCTTCCCAGGCAGGCAGGCCTCTGAGTGGCTTTAGTCCCAGCTCCCTCGTCCTGAACCAGCGAGTTGGCAGGGCCAGAGGGGACTTGTCCACCTCCTGTGCTCAGAGCTGTGGGGTAAGAAAGGGGTGGCCCTAGGCTGTGCCCTAAAACCAAGGCCACCAAGTGAACACCCAGGAAATGCGAGCTCATGTCCTGAGTGCAGGCTGTGCCCAGGCAGCCGTCCTAGGGCTTGAGAGAAGGTGGGTGACGTGGGACAGGCCTCGTGAGACTGTGCAGGCAGCGCTGGGCCGGTGTCTCACAGCGGCCAGGCTGCTGTGCGTCTGGCCCTTGCGTGTACGTAGTCCTCACGGCCTTGTGCGGCGGCTGCGTTCTCATACATGGCAGGACCTGAAGGCTCAGCCTGTGGGACCTGCCCACCGCCACGGAGCTGGGACGTGCCATCAGGCAGTGTCCCGGGCATGGACCTTCTCGAGCGTCAGTGTTTGTCCTGGGAGACCCGCTTCTGAAAATGAAGCTCTGGTGACCACGTTCTTCCGCTCTGAGGTCTGAATGGGGGCCGGGGCTTTCGAGGGAGACACTGACCTGGTCAGAGCTGTGTGTTCAGGGCTCTGACTCGTGTGCCCTGGGGAGGATCCCAGAGCCTGGGCGGGTGCGTGCGCGCGCGCACACACACGCGTGTTTTAGGAACTACAGTATTAAAAAGTCGGAACTGGCCGACAGCAACTGCCTGGATGGTTTGGGCTCTGGCTGTTGTTTAACGGCTGTTCACTCTTCCTCAGGCCCCTGGCTAAGCGTGGCCGGTATCCTGTCTACTCTTTCATGTTTCCTCTGAGAAAACCTTAGTCTTCCAACCTGAAAAGGCGGACAGGGTGTGACTCCCAGTTCTTCTGCGAGAGTGGTTTGCTGCTCATCAGCACATGAATAAAACAGGATCCTGCAGGAACTGACTTCCTTTGTAAGGAAGCTTATAGCATTTCCCGGAGAGGACAACAGAAGCAGAGCTGCAGCTCGGCCGTTTCTCTGGCAGTATCTCTGGCAGTAAAGCCGCTGCGCAGGGGCTTTCCGGCTTTGTTGGGCTCACCTCCATCCTGACAGACCTGCCTTCTGGGCCCCTGCCCTCCAGCGTCGCCACCTCACACTCTCCCTTTACTGTCACTCCTGAAAACGTCACTTGTCAGCCTATGAAACAGCACTTGTGTTCCCCGGGCCCATCCGGTGACACGCTCTGGCTGAAGGCCCTGTGGCCCCGATAGCCAGGCTCCACAGTCATCACCCTGGACCTGGAACTTGGCAGCACTCGGTGGTGCTGGCGGCTGCCTCCGTAGGGCTGTGCTGTCCCCTGACCTCTGCTCTCCTGTCCCCTCTGTTTCTCAGGCCTCCTCTTTGCTTCTCGGGGCTCTTGCACCCCCATGACCTCTGCCCTGCATGGGGACCCAGGCCAAGCCTTCCCTCCAGGTGCCACTGCTGCTACAGCCATTCTGGGCACCTTTCCTTCCCCGTTGCTTCGCCTGTTTCAAGTGTCGCTGCAGGTGTGCATTTCTCTAAGAGTTCTCACGCCCTCTTCCGAAAGAGGCCAACAAATAGGCCAACCCACTCCCTTCCCTGACCTTGAATAGGCAAGAAGGCGAGGTCTGTTTGTTCTTGTGTATTTTTTTAAATCTTCATCATTGGTGCTGCTTAAGTGTCACCCAGTTGAGGAACTTGATAATCAAACTGGAAGCCTTCTTCACTTCTCACCACGAGTGACACCCATCCCCAAGTACTGCCTTTCATTCTTAGGAGCCCTGGGTCCCAGCCTCCCCCTGCATCTGTGCTGCCCTCTCTCAACCCGGCCTCCTGAGTGGGACGTAAACAAATGAGCAGTAAATCGGGCCAGGTTGGGGGCAGACTGGACAACTCAGGCTCTGAACCTCACCCGACCCACCTGACACGGCGAGGCTCAGCGCTAAACGCTGTGATGTGATGACGAAGGACTTGCAGGGCGGTGGCCAGCATAGGCGGAATGTAAGGCTGTTATTTCATCAGACCTTACGCAGCTCCAGCCATAATCTGCACCGTAGTGGCTAACCTGGTTAGCGGGCCAAGGCGGCAGTCACAGCATCCATTTTAGCGGGAGAGAAAAAGTCAGCGTGTTCCGTCAATAGTGCGTTTTAAGGCTGTTTTTGTAATTAAGAAAAAATTCTCCTTAGGCTGGGGCTGGGGGAGGTTGACTACAAAGGGCCATGAGAGAATTGGGGGGGCACTGGTTGTGGTGATGGTTATGAGGCTGTGTGCTTGTCACAACTCAGGGACCTGCCTTCTGACAAGGTAGATGCACTGTGTAAACTACGCCTCAGGAAACCTGACTTACTTGAGTGCCACCGAGTCTTACTTGAAGGAATGTGGGCCCCCTGGAAAGTGGGGTGACGGGCAGGAAGATCAGGCCTTTTCTGAAGGTCGCTTCGATCTAGGTCCTTGACGGAGTTTTTCCATTCTGGACCCTTCCTTTCTTAGCCTGGGCCCCAGAAAAGTCCAGGAACCCCTGAGACTGATCCCAAAATTCTGTTAAACATGAGTGCTGCTCTTCTGGGAAGATTACTTTTTCCATCTGATTGTGAAAAGTAGCTGAGTGTTCAGTAAAGGTTAAAACCACAGTGCCCCTTCTTCCCTGAATGACGCCGTCTTGGGGTTCTGGTCCTCGGCGCCTACAGCCCTCTGCTCGCACAGGTCTGCTCCTGACGCTGCGCTCGCTCGCTCTGTCCTGAGGCCGACCTAAGGGCGTTTCTTCCCCCCCACGCCCCGTCACATTTAACGTACGTTAGTGTTGAGCATATCGGGGACAGTCCCCATGCATTCCCTGTCACTACCAACTGTGGTGACAGAGTTTTCTTTGAGCGTGGATCCAGTACATCTCTATGCGTCTCCTCCTGTTTGGACAATGACCGGGAGTGGAAAGGGGTTGTGTTCCCTGAGCAGTGGGCACAGGGACAAACAGGGAAGCCTGCCGTCACCGCTCCCTGTCAGCCTGTCCTGGAGGTCCCTGCCAGAGCATAAGGAAGGCAAGAAATGCAGATTGTAAGGACGGGGGAAGCGGAAATAAACCTCCCGTGTTGCAGGCGACATGGTCCCTCAGGAGCAGCGACGAAGCTGTATTTTGGTGTAATTTCGCCGACTGCGTTTCTGTCGTTTTTTGGTCCTGTCTGCGGTCACTCCTCGGGTGTAAGAGTCACCTTATCGTCCCTCAAGGACGTGCGTCAGAGGTCTCACTCCTGCTCACTTGCTTCTCGGCAGGTCGTATCTGACTCCTGTCCGGGATGAGGAGGCCGAGTCTTTACGGAAAGCACGCTCCAGACAAGCTCGGCAGACCCGGAGGTCGACGCAAGTGAGTGTGAGGCCCTTTTGTGTCCTTTTGTCTGTCTGCCTGTCTGTTGGAAGAAGAGTTAAAAAGCAGTGAACTGAGTGCCTCTTCCCAGCCACTGACCGAGAAGCTTCCTTCTGTGATGTGTCGTACCCTGCACACCATCAAATGAGGTCACAGACCTCCCGCCATTCCCACTTCGTCCTCCAGGCTCAGGGAACGTTTACCCACTTCCTTCCCTGTACCGGTCACTCCTTTCATGCTCAAGAGTCCCTAGAGGGGACGGCTTGGCAGCTCCCCAAAATGTCCAGCAGTCCTAACCTTAGGGGCACACTCAAGAAAGGAACACGCACGTCACACAGAAGCTCGTGACAGATGTTTACAGCAGCCTCGGTCACAGTGGCCACATGGAGGCAGCCGTGAGCTGGTGACGGGTGGATAGTTGGCTCTCTTCACAGTGGGCAGTGCCGGGCATTAGGACAGGGAGTGGAGTGCTGACAGCCCTGAGCTACAGCAGGCCGGACCTGGACAGGTGAGCACCGGGGAGGCAGGCAGGGCAGCGAGGTCAGTGGCAGGTGAGCAGGCGTGCGTGGTGGCCGGTCCTCTGGGCCTCAGACTGGGGAAGCCACAGCGTTGTGTTGGGAGTGGACATAGACCCGGCCTGGTTTCTTCGCACACTCGTGTTTATTTTAGCTTGAAACGGCCCCATGTTAAGAGCTTCATTAGGAATGTGATGCTGTTAGATCTTTTAGGGAACGTCCCTGCTTCTGCCACGGTCAGAGTGGACCGTCTCTGACTTGTGATATCTTCCCAGGGTGTGACCCTAACAGACCTGCAGGAAGTGGAGAGGACCTTCAGCCGGTCGCGCGCCGAACGACAAGCTCAGGAGCAGCCGGGCCAGAGGCCTGTGGGCCCCGGAGGGCTTGAGGGGCGTGCCGAGAAGCAGGAGTCCCCCGCCGTGCCCGCCAAGGAGGCCGGCGAGGCCCGCCAGCCCTGGGGCCAGAGTCTGGATGAGGAGGTGAGCGCCCAGGGTGGCACGTGCTGTGCAGAGCAGGGCCAGCGGCGGCCTCCTGTGACGCGGCGGTCCTGCTTCCTAGCGCACGGCTCACGGGAAACTTCACGTCTGTCTTGAGTCGGCAGACCTGTGAGGCTAAAGGGATTCAGGGGCCGTCGGCCATTGAGTGCTCCTTTTGTCCTGAGAGTTGACTGAGGCTTTCTTTTTCCAGTTTTGCTGAGATACAGTTGACATCACACTGTGTTTGGTTTAGGTGCACGCGGGGATTTGATGAGTGTACAGTATGTATGTGAAATGGTTGCCACAATAAGCTTAACTAAATATCACTTAGGTAAATTTACTCCTTAACTAGAGGATAAATGTCTTTCTAGTCTAAAAAGAGGTTGTAGCATATAATAATGAAACACAGACATAGAAGCATTTGCTGAGTGTCTACTCCAGGCATCCCCTTAACCATCGCATGTGTGTTAACCCTCAGAACTGCTCTCCGAGGCGGCTGTCACCGCTTCTGCTTTACAAATGTCAGAGGGACGTGAGCCGCAGAGGTCAAGCAGCCTGCCCAGCGCTTCAGGCGGCCAAGCAGCCGTGTAGGCACGTCCTCTTGACCATTAGCATGCTCTCCAAACTTCTGCAAACCTAGGAGCTTGCAGAGCACCCTTCATCCCGTGCTACACACAGATGCCACTGTTGGGATGGACATGTGACTTATGTGCAGCTGGCAGCTGGAGCTGTAGGTTACATGTCAGGTGGACATAATTCCTGCTTCCCCTCCGACGGCTGTGTTGACACTGGCATCTCTCCTCCCCACTCGCCGAAGCCTCCCAGCTGGGATGACCCATTTTATGGTCACCATGGTCCCAGCAGAGAGAGACCTTGCTGATCTGACTCCGGCCAGGCCGTAGAAACTGAACTGGTGCTTATTACCAGCTCACTGGGTGCTTGTCGGAGGTGCTGCACTGAGCACCCAGCACGCGTTGTCCCGTTGAGGCCTCACAACCTCTGAGGAAGACTCGCCCTGCTTTACATATGGGGATGCGGAGGCCCGGCCAAGTTAAGTGCCGGTCAGGGTCACCCAGCGAGCAAGTGCTGAGGCTCGAACCTGGACCGGGCTCTGTCTGATGCCAAAGCTGACTGTTGTAGTGCTCCTGCCCTTGTCACTTGTAAACAAAATGCAGTCTCTGCAGGCAGTAAGAACTTCTGTCTCTGCCTCTTCAGTAAACCAAGTTAAGACTTAGTGTCAGGTTCTCTCCGTCCTTGCTCAGGGGGGAATGAAAAGCTTTCAGCGGGGACATGGGAGTCCCCAGAGTTCCGATCAGCCCGTGTGGCGAGTTGGAGAGTTCAGAGATGGGTAGGGTGCTCCGATTTGGTCTGTGTTCTCAGCTAAGTCTGCGTTCCGGCCTTCGTGTCCCTGAGCTCCCTGTTCCCTGCGTGGGCCCTGCCTTTCAACTCTCCATTTGAAAAAGTCATCGTCTTGCCTGTTTTCATTCCAAAACCAAAGGGATTTTTATCACCGAGGTCAGGGATAATTTTCCTGGTATCATCAGAATACAGGCTCAGAAGCTGCTTCCCTTCTGGCCGGCTGGCTGGCTGACCGACCGACTGACCAACCCACTGACTGACTGACTGACTGACTGACTAACTGATGCTGGCTGGCTGGCTGACCGGCTGACCGACCGACTGACCAACCCACTGACTGACTGACTGACTGACTAACTAACTGATGCTGGCTGACCGGCTGACCGACCGAGTGACCAACCCACTGACTGTCTGACTGACTGACTGACTGACTTTAGTGCAGCTCAGTACTGAGCACCCACTGCTAATAAGCCTCTTGGTGTAGAAAAGGCCCGTTTCAGTAATTCCGCAGTGCTGTCCTCTGCTGGACGTGACCGCGCCCACCTCACCTGTGCCTTCCTTCCAGCCTCTGCATCGTCGCCTGAGGTGTCCAGCTCAGCCAGACAAACCCACGACCCCAGTGTCCCCTTCCGCTCCGAGCCCCTCTGTCTCTGCCAGCTCCCACCTGCTGCAGCCGAGCAGATCACCAGCCCCCGATTCTGAGAGCTCAGAGACGAAGGAAATGGACAAAAACGGTGTGTAGAGTCCCGGAAGCCCAGGCCCCCCGCCCCATGCACCGATCTCAGTGTTCATGCTGCTTCTTCTCCGTCAGAGGGTGAAGAAGCCGACGTGGGTGAGCCGTCCTCCGACAGGCTGTCGATCCGTGAGCGGAGGCGGGCCAGGGAACACCGCAGAGGCACCGGCATCAACTTCTGGACGAAGGACGTGAGTGGCGGTCTGTGCCGGGTCGGCCTCGGGCCTGGGCTGCCATCGTTTGTGTGGAGCTCACGGGGACTCCCACACGTGGCACAAGCTGCCGGTGTCAGGGACACTGATGGGGCAGAGAAGGAGAAGGACTGCTGGTGTGGGACCCGTCCGGGCGCTCCTGCCGGGCGCCCAGGGCCTGGAGCGTGCCAGGCACTTAGTAGAGCTCAGGATGTGACTGGTGAGGAGTGGGAAACTGACATCCAGCCACAGCAGCAAACAGGGCTCAGCAGTCCCCCCTCGTTCCCAGAAAGTCCCGCAGCCTTGGGCCCCCGTAAGCAGGGATCCTAATGTTTTAGGGGTGCCACGGGGAGTAACCAAGTTCCTCTGACTCAGTTTCACTCTTTTGGGGTGAAAAAGGGAGGAATCACGTATAACGGACGTCCCCGCTTTGAAGTCAAGCACTCACTAGCTGCAAACGCACGTCAGCACCTTACCGCGTGCTCAGCCTGCCCGGCTCCCGGCTCCGTCCCTGCGTTTAGAAACCAAGTGGCTGGTAACCACAAGGCCCCTGCTTCCAGCGACTCCTTTGAAAATTAGACAAGAAATGTCAGTAATTGTCACCTTTTAGAGACTGCGCTCACGATACAAGTATTTCACTGTTGAGGACCAAACAGACTGCCAATGGAGATGAAGTAAAGTGTGTCGGTCCTAAAGGTGCCTCTCCCGCAGCTGCGGCTCGGCTGGCGCTGTGTGACGGCAGGTGGTGTCCGAGCTATCTGCTTGTGCAGCTGCTGCAGCAGTGGCGTCCCTTATCCGTCAGCCCGCGGCCTGTGTGACAGTGACACATGTGCAGGGTGCATAAGGGGCCGGCTGGCCCCATGGCTGTGAAGGACGTCTGACCGTGCCCTCTGGTTTCGTTTCTTTGTAGGAAGATGAAACGGATGGATCTGAAGAGGTGAGAGAAGCGTGGGTAAGTGACAGGCCCGCGAGGCGCGTCCCTCTTGGCTTGGCTTGCTCGTGTGCCCATGATTTCAGTGGAAGAAAGAGCAGGCTTGGGCGGCGGGCAGGCTGGGGACAGACGTGCTGTGCGTGGTGCGGCAGGTGGCAGCTGTGGTGCTGTCTGTCCTGCGCTGTGAGCACGGCCTGGACAAGGCCCTCCGTCGCCCCGCGCCCCTGCGGTCTCCAGCACAGCTGCGGGGTCTGCCTGCCTTTCCCCTCTCGTGAGGGTGCCGCTGGGTTGTATAAAGGACTTTGAAGTCTGGGGAAGAAAGGGAAGGGTGACGCCGTTTCTCTGTGGAAAGCGCTGAAATTCATTTCTTCTCTTTGTGTACCTAGCTAGGGAAGTGTCAGCAGCACTTTTCTGCAGATAAGATATAAGGCCAGGAATGGCCCTGACGTTTGCTATCGATTATGTGATAGAGGGAAGACCAGCCATGAATGTCTGTGGTGGTGACACCAACGCGTGATGCTTCGAGGGCTGGGACTTTGCTTAATTCCCACGTAGTGCGTAGTGTTGTCAGCTCCTGTCCCCGCTGGCAAATCCATGAGCCAGTGAGACTGGCGATGAGCGTGGAGCTGAGTGTGTCAGCCCCTCCTTGACAGATGTGCGTAAAGCCACCTGCTTAGCTGCATGTAAGTGTGGAGGTCTCAGCATGTCCCTGGCTGGCTGAGTGAGGAGGTTGTTCCCGTCGTACCTGAAAACGCTTTGCACTGGGGAGCGTGTTGGTTTTCTCTGCCGGTAACGGCAGCACAGGGCTTGCTCCAGAAGGCCCAGCACGCTGCCCACGGCCGGCCACCGGGCCTCCCAGCCCTGCCCGTGTGCTTGGCCACGGCCCCTTGCTGACGATGCGTTTTGTCAGCTGCATTCTTGCTTCTGCTGTGTAACTGGACGCATCACTAGAGGGCACAAGTGGTCAGCAGCCGTGTTGGAGAACAGGTGCAGTGGGGCTCAGGAGGCCAGAAGGCAGGTTGCTCTTGCCTTGAAGGGGCTGTGAAGACCCGTCCACAGTAGTGGAGTTACTTGCCCCCCAGCTTTGGGGGTTTGGAGATGACTGGGCTTAGGGACCTCGTTTTACAGTTAAGGAAACTGAGGCCCAAAGAAGTTCAGTGTTCAAGGATGTGACAGCCCTGCCAGGGGCGCCCGTGCTGCCGGGCCGTGGGCAAGCAGGCCTGGAGTCTGGGCTCACAGCTGCTGGGGTGGAGGGACGTCTCTTGAAGGACAAGGTCAAAGCCTGCCCTGGTGTCAGGGTTCAGCGGCTGGGCCGTCAGCAGCAGCAGGGTGAGATGGGGTCGACATAGAAGACGGTGGTCGGGACAGGCCCTTCTGGGGAAGCACCCTGAGCCTGGGACGGAGGGACGGCGGCAGACAGGTGGACCTGCGGGGTGGGTGCCTGTAGGCCGGGGAACAGCCCCTGCAGAGACTCAGGCAGGAGCGTGTCATGTGCTGAGGACAGGCGAGGACACCCAAGTGTCAGCAGAGAGAGCACCGTGACCCCGAGGGGCTGCGATCTGAATGGGTGGGAACCATCGCGAAGTCCAAGCCAAGAGTGTCGGAGGCCACTTCCGTTTCAGAGGGCAGCCCCTGCGCCTTCGGCAGCGTCCTCTAAAGGGACTGGGTGGAAACGAGCATCAGTTAGGAGGCTGTGGCGATGGTCCAAGGAGACCAGTGGTGGCTGGGGCCAGGGTGAGCGGGCAGCACAGCGCTGGGAGGGCCTCACGGTCACTGTGGATGTGAAGTTGGAAGCAGCAGGTTTGCTGCAGGATCAGGCAGCCGGTGAGGAAAACGGGGATCAGACTGACAGCAACGCTCTTTGCTCAGGCGCCTGGGAGGACGGCGTTTTCTTAACGGAGGTGGAGAAACCTGTGGGAGGAGCAGACTTGGTGGGGAGAGCAGGCGTTCAGTTTGGTTTTAGGGTGTTAGATGCAACGCGTCTGACTGACATCCACGTGGGAATGGCATGAGGAGTTAGAGGCGGGGGTCTGGAGCCCAGGCGGCAGGTCCACCCTGGACATTGGAACTCGGAGGTCAGCAGATGCACAGATGGCAGCCGAAGCCGTGGACTGTGAGATCGCGCCAGTGGGTGTGGGCAGAGACGAGGCCCCAGGACAGAGCCCTAAGTATCCAAGTTCAAAGTGAGGCGAGGGAAGAGCCGCGGGGGGCCCGAGCATTCGGCTCTGGGGGTGTAAATGCAGCCTCCCACGCACACAGAGCAGTAGGTGGTTTTCTTGTTGTTTTACCATTTTTCTCAGCTTGTGTAGGCATATGCCCTGCGAGGTCTGCTTGGCCTGGTGTGGGGGACCCGGCGGCCCCCAGCACCCTCTGGCTGTTCCAAAAATGCAGTTTGCTGCCCCTCTGCAAACCCCTTCTCGGGCCTGGGAAGCCCCAGCACTCGCCAGACACCTGTAACCGCACGCTGCTCAGGAGCCCTATGTGGGCTCAGCCTGATTCCCTCAGCTCCGTCGCACGTTACAGGCTCTCTGGTGCCGTGGTGCCCTAAACTCTGTGAGCTCGCGGCTGGGAGGGCCGTCAGGACGTAGAGTTTCAGAGCTGGAAGAGACCATTTCAGAGACAGCAGCTGTGGCCAGGAGACCAAGCGCTTGCCAGGGTCACAGCCATGTCCCGTCCGTGGCTGCTGCATGCATGGCCTTCAGGTGGGTCTCCACATGTGCCATGTGTCTTAGCTGACCTGCCGTTAGGACAAGCTGGACACCCGGCCAAGGCTCAGCTCGCCGCCGGCCTGTGCTCCGTCTGGGTCCATCACATGTGAAGTGGGGGGGACGTCCAGTGTTCCCTCAGCCGTGTCAGATGAAGTGACTTTGTGCGTGTAATAGAGGCGAGGCAGGCCATTCAAAGTGCTCGTCGGGTCCCTAGTCCCTGCATCCTGATGAGACCAAGGCCTCGAGCGCTTTCACTGACCTCCGCATCGTGTGACTTGACGTTACGTATTGATTGATTCACAAGCAATGGGTCACTCTATGAATCAGACACGTGGCCCGGGCCATCCAACATGAGTGAGGGTCCTGGAAACGTGCCTGATGGGTCCTGAGAAGCAAGTTTTTTTTGTTTTTTTGGGTTTTTTTAAAAAATATTTTTATTGGGGAATTGGGGGATGGGAACAGCGCTGGGGAATTGGGGGAAGGCGAACAGACAAGTTGCTGTTGTTTTGTTCTTCAGTCTAGTTGTGGAGGACGTTGCTTCACTGGCCCAAGTTGGCACCATCACTGTTCTCTTCCCTGGGCGAGGTAGATCAGTCGCCAGCTTCTGGACGGCCGCTCACTGCGGCGGCTACTGGCCGCTCACGCTGGCTGCTGGCTACACATGGTAGCCCATGGCAACCCACTGCAGCAGGGGCTGCAGCCTACACTGTCGCCGGCGACTCAGGGCAGCCCAGCTCCAGGTTGAGCTGTTGTTCAGCATCTTAGCTGTGGAGGGCAGTGTCACTGGCCCTCATATGTGGGATCCAAACCGGGGCCCTCTGGCGTCCCAAGCCAGTTCTTAACCATCGCGCCACTCGGCCAGCCCCTGAGAAGCAAGTTTTAAAGGTGGGAGAAAAGAGCTGCGTGGAGAGGAAAGGGCCCCGAGCCCAGGACCCCGTCCACGTGCTTGCATTTCACACCCACATCGCCCGTTTCATCTCTGCTGGTGACCCAGCAGCTGTGGCTCCACGGGTTTTTATACCCCCCCACATATTCACTCTTCCCTTGAGTAAACACTAGCGCTTTTTCCTATTTACTCTAATTTTGTACAACTTTGCTTCTGGCTGTTCACTGAATCCCCCCCTCCCTGCCCCCCCAGCAGTGTTTAAAAATCTTATTTCATAATCTCACAGAGCCCCTCTGCTGGGGGCCCGAGATTTTCTGTCCCCTGCCCACCCTGGGCTGGCTCTGCACTTGTCCTTTTAGGTAAAATCCCAGGACGGTTGCCTCCCTGCTCTCTGGGGCCTGATTGCCTAATATGGTAAGGTATGTCCCGACCAGCCGGTCCTGAGAGAGCGCCTCAGCGGGACGCGCCAGAGACCCGGGAGGTGAGCTGTTATTTACACCGTAAAATAATGTGTTCCACGGTGTTCCATACAACAGTCTTTCTTTAAGCAAGCCTCTGCTCCAGTTAGTGGAGTGAACGCACAATAAAATATAAAGTCTCTCCGTCTTTAGCCAGATAAGAAAGGGGTGGGCAGCTTGTCCCAGGGTGGGAGTGTTCTGAGAGGCCTGAGGACTCGGACAATCATGCTTTTGGGGATAGATTTGGTACCAGCAGCTCCTGGGAGCTCCGGCATCCCGGTTTGCACAGGCGATGGCAGTGGGCCATCAGGAAGGAGATGGAGAGACGTGGCAGCCGGCAGCGTGTGTGGGAGGCCGTCTTCCACCCGTGTCCTGAGGTCTCCAGTGGCTGACCCCACGTCCCCCCGGAGGGTCCCCTGCACTGTGCGTTTGCTCTTGCCGTTTCTGAAACGCTGCAGGTGCCCTGCTTCACTGATGCCCCCCACCCCCCGCCCGCGCCTTCCACTCCCTGAGCTGCACAGACCATCTCAGTCTCTCTTGGCATCTTCCTTTTAAGGACTCGATTAATTTTAGGTCGTGCTGTTGCCAAGGAAATCTCAGTCATGAAAGCTCACATCTGTCCTTTGAGACCCTGTAATTTTTGGACCAATACATCAGTGAATTCTGCTTTAGTCCGAAACCTCTTTTAAGATAGAATAAACTGATTTCACCTTATCTGTTTGGGCTTTGCTCAGACGTCTTATCCCTGGTTGTGGAGAGTTTATCAAAAACCAAGGACAGTACCAGTAACCGGGGACCTTTTCTTGTCCTCCGGTTTCTTCCTTCTGCCTCCTGCTGCCTTCAAGGTGTTAGTTCTGTTGGTGACCTGTGACCTGTGACCTAACGTGCCTTTGTTGGAAGGACACTGATGAGCTTGAAACTCTGTGGGAACTTTTCTTGTGATTATAAAGGTGACACAGTTTATTATAG